CCATGATGACTTTCCCCAGTGAAATAATGGGAGAGGGTAACTCCCTGTCCAGCAGCTCATCTGCTGACCCCTGGACACAGTCAGATATGGACAGGGCTGTGAGGGGCTGAATGACACAGGGGACATTTTCCCTTTTAGCTGTCTCAGAGAATGATTTATTGCATTACTACTGGGATGTGACCTGTCTATAGAGACACTGCAATGGGTTTACTGGCAGGTACGGCTGCGTTAGTTACATTTGTGACGTTGCATTGCTGCAGAATGTGCGTGCATATAAGCTATAAGAAACGTTTAGCATATGAAATACGGTATTTACACAGGCGTGAGACTAACTGAAGAAACAGGCGCTGCATTCAATTCACATCCAAATCCACGTGCATTTATGCTACACTACTAAGATAACCCAATAGAAATGAACGTGCAGTGTTAAACTTAAGCTGCCCGTGTGCGTTATATACACGATTTATACTGTTTATTTTGGTTTGTGGCATGAAGAAATGTCTAAATCAACTGTTATAGTGAGGTCTTTCCTCCCACGTGGCAGAGATAAGAGCTAAGTTAGCTACTGGCTAACACGCACCGGTTGTGCTAAAGAGATAACCGCTAATCCGCCCGAAAACACGTCCTAACCTGAGAGTAACACATCTGCGGAGACATTTAAAGTCATTTTACAATTGCCTACCTTCGTATTTAAGATTAAACATGATGTAGTCTTCTTGGTTTGCAGCTGACACGAGGAGCTGCAGGGTTACTCTCTGCTCACGGTTGAGTCTCCAAGACAAGAGGACGTATTTCCGGGTCCGTGCGCTCTTAACTGCGCCGCAGAGCTGCGCAGTGCAGCTCCTGAAGCGCACAGCTGAGCAGTGATTATATTGTCAGCACCAGCTGCATCCTATTTCTTTGACGCTTACATTTAAGATTTAAAAATATAAAATAAATGCAGTCTCTCCACTCTACTACACAAAAGCACCAGGTTTGTGATGAACTGGGAATCTGTGGTTTATTTTCTTTAACTCACTGTGCCTTAAAAATAATAATTTCTAGACATATAACCTCCTTCATTTTCCTAAAACTGGCTACTATACACATATACTGCCCTTTGTTACTTTTAAAAAATGTGATTTGCCCATATATTTATAAATATTTAAAGAAGTTAAACCATATTGACAAATCAAGCAATTTAACAAAGTTGATCAAATAAAGCCAGTTTCTAAAAATGCCTAAATGTGTCAAAAAGACAGGCAACTTCACATCATTCAGCTTCTACTGAAATAATAAATTGTTAAATGTAAAGGGGTTAATTCACTTAATATTTACACCTTTTATCTGTACAAATATATGTAATTATTGTTTGCTTTCTTAAACATGATGACAGTATAAACACAGTGAAAACTACCATAACATAGGCATATATTTATTCTGGTTAAGCCTATTTGACTTCTTAAATCGTGAAAATCCTCCTCAGCCTTCTGCAGATTAGGTTAGGTGCAGTCATTTTTATTTACATCTTTAATTATTGTTTGCTTTCTTAAACATGATGACAGTGTAAACACAGCTGAAAGTACCATAAATTATAGATTTTTTTTTAGCCCATTTGATTTCTTAATTCATCCTACTCAGCCTCCTTCACATTCTTCAGTTAGTGCAGTCATTTTGCTGCAGTTAAATGTTGTCTTGAATTAAAAATATAGCCTGCAAGAGCACCAAAGCTTTATTTGATAGATTTGATTGAATGTTACTGTCCCATGATCACAAGGACACTTTTAAATGGTCAGGAAATACCGTCAGTGTTAAATAATACAGCATAAAATACTACTTATAGTAATTTTTTCCACAAACCTCTACGTGAATTTTCAATCGTTATATTCTACTTTATTATCTCAAAATAAGCCAAATGAAAAAAGGGCACTTCCACAGATCTTCTATTATCGTAAAATCTTGGAGACTCGTCTTCTTTCACTGAAGTCATTTATTCACAAACACATTTACAACCATGCATGTAAAAATACGAAGGAACATGAGATGAAGAGCCTCCATTGTTGACTCTCTGACAGACCACTTCACATGACAGATGTTAAGTTATTCACACATGCATTTAGTGCAAATGTTTCAACTGAAAGTGCACACCTCAAGCATGACGGGCTCATTGCCCCGCGGAATCTCTACAAATATCATACCTGGGACATGTACGGAGCTGCACGATGCAGGGGCAAACAGGATTGGCCAAAATAACAACAGAGAAACATAACGTATGCTTTCTCCAAATTTATACAATAAAATTCACGTTATATATTAATTTACAATGTCTTCCTAGAGGGCTTTTAGTGGAGGTAAAATCAGATCTACAATCATAATGCAAATGTTGCTGCAACAGCATGGACTCATGCAAATATGAAACTATTTCATACGATGATTTTAAGGGCTGTTACTGGGAGGTGGACGATGATGGGCCTTGATTCTCTGACTCTGAAGGACTGGTGGTGTTGAGGAACTGTCCGCTTGCTCCGACGTACAGTCTGGATCGCATGGGCCATTTCTGCAAAGACATTTAAGTTGTTAGTGAGGTAACCTCTGAAATAGGCCCAAAGGCCACCGAGGGTGATGTTGCATGCTTTAGAAATGTCAACTAAGTATAAGTGATCACTGTTTATTAAGTTATTTTTGTGCATTATAGATCTTTGCAGTGAAAAATTCAGCTCAGAATTTTTTTTTATCAAGAGACATTTAACAATATAATACTGGATAATAACTGACATTGAGAACAGATGACATGCCTTTATTATTATTATTATTATTATTATTATTATTGTTCTTATTATTGTTATTATACTGACCTTCACTGGGTGCAGGTAGCCGTCTCCTTTCAATGAGTGCAACGCCTCTGTTTGTTTTGTGCTCTCTCCCTCCTCCGCGCCTTCTTCTTGTAGTGTTCGAGTCAAATGGGCAATATAGGTGGTGGCCAGTATCAACACGTCGAGTTTGGACAGCTTGGTGTCCGGCGGCACGGACGGCAAAGTCCTTTGTAGCTCCAGGAACGCGGTCCTCAGGGTTTGCACGCGGCTCCGCTCCCGCGCTGCGTTGGCTGCTGCCGGGCGTCCTCTGCCGCCGAGCCCGCCGGCCTGGAGCACTCTGGCCCGCTGCAGGTCCTGGCGACGGCCATCCGGACTGGGGCTGGAGCTCGGGCTGGATGCAGGGCTGTCATCCACCGCCGTCCCGGAGCAATTACCGCTGTCCATGCGGAGCGTCTGTCTTCCAGCCATCAGGGTGCACTCACAGACCTGAAGAGTTACATCAGATGGATGAAGACACATCAAGCCACCTTTAGTTAACCTGGTTATTATATTGCACATTTTACTGAGCTCATAACTTATGAATTATTTATTGTTGTCTATGTTCCTCTGTTCTACCTTTAACTTAACTTTTAATTTATATGATAATTTGTTGCATTTATTTATTAAACCGTAACTTATTTGCAGTCTAGTGCTGAAAATGTCTGTATTCAAAAATGCATGTTCAGGCAAATTAAACAGACACATCCCTGGTCTAAAAAGCCAAATGACAAAACAGACAGCTCTCCAAAGTTGCACCCAAGACACATGAATTTGTGCAGATTGCTCAGTCACATGTCAAACGACCTGCGGTGCAAATGAAGTCCCTGCCATGCACAAACTCATGAGAGCAGTTTCTGATCTGGGGTTTACCTCTGGTATCTGTTAAAGGCGCTGTTTTCGACATGAAGGCGATCCAAACAGGGCTTCGATAGGATTGAGAATTTGCTCTTCAGTGGAGAACAGTCCCAGTCCACGTCCAGCGTATCCTTACAAAGTGTTGCGTCTGCAGAAAAGGTGCACAGCAGTCCCTGTACGCTCATCCAACACTTCACCTGTGTGCGTAAAAGTTTCAGGAGCCCTTAATTTATTGGATACACAAAGCGGCGGACAAGTATTTCACTCCGACGTAATTAATCATTCGGCCCATAGCACTCCCTCACAGTGCAGAAGACTGCTCTTTCCCTTTCCTAACTTATTTCTGTCTGAGGGCAGCAGAGGCTCGTTTTCAACGCCAGAGGCAGGACTCTCTTTTCCTCGTACCCTGATATGTGGTAGGCCAGATCCCACTCTAATTGGCTGCGAACCTGACACTGTATTTTCTTTATAAGCCTATCAAAAAGTGGCAACGGGACCAAAATTAGTCAAAATGACCTAAAAAATGTGCTCGTCATGGTCAGAAATAAAGCTTATAGTCTTTCACAACGCTATTTGCAGCACACCATGAAGACAGGCTGACATGTGTAAGGTGATATGCAAAACATTTGACTAATTGCCAGGGTGTCTTGAATTGCAAGCTCATTGGAACAGCTAATAAATAAAGTCCAGCGCTGCAATCAACAGGCAGGCATTGAGGAAATTCTTGTGAGACTCATAAATTAATCACTCTGATTTCCAAGGCTCCAAACGGAGATGTCGGCAAATTAATGAAAGGAATTATTCATAATATGTATATCCTCGGACTGTTCTTAATAAACATTGTTTTTGTAAGGATGGGGTAACAGTTTTGCTCCTGGCCACTAATTACAAGGCGAAGTAAGAGAAGGTTAAGTAAGCTTGTTTCCCTAATAACTCCGCATCTTTCAGGGGGTCACACACCCACGTGGCTCCTCATTCAAACACTCAGTGACAATAAATACATCCGCATTGTTACTGTATCTGCTGTAAACCAGCACTGGATCATTTATCACAGAGGCTGTGGGTAATGTAAAGCCTTGTAATGCTGGGGCACAGTGATCATTTAGATTGTGCCACTCTGCATCTCCTGATTCACTTATTTGCTGAAATGCATGCAGACGAAAAATTACGCACATAAAATAAGACTATCAGCAAATAACAGTTTGAGTTGGATAGAATATTTATATCCTCAGAGCCCCAAAACAAAATGTAATTAGAAATAAACCAGCTGTGAAAGTGAGAGGAGTAAATGCACAAACAATTACTCATCGTTTTGCTCTTTATTTTTTCATTCATTTCAAACAGTAGGAGATTTAGTCTATTCATTCATTTATATGAATCTATTTATTACAGATAAAATCATTTGAAAATATGCAGTGAAAAAAGCCACAATATAAACCACTATAATCCACTAGGTGAAGGGTATCCTGCAGCAACATGGACATTAATGTACGCAGGTGACAGTGTCTGTTTTCTGTCCTGCTAAATACACAAAGATAAAAGATCTGCTGCTGTGATGACCAAGGTGCTTTAAAAAAGGCAGTGGCAGGGTTAGTCCTGCATGTGTGAGGGGGGAGGTGGAGATTTTAGGCAGGTTTGTCATAAGCATCCACATCACTGCAGAGGAGTGATGAGACAGCCACACGATTGAGCAGTCTGCTCATGGGAATCTTTAATGTTTTTACCCTGTAATTTCAGAGAAAAAGAAGAGCATACATTATCAGATTATGGAAGATATTTTTTTTACTACTTTGTGGTCTAAGCGTTTGTGAATGTTCAACAGAGACAGGCAGATCTGCTAATCAAGAGAACATGATAAAACAAAATAGCAAGTAATTTGTCAAGATGGAAGAATGAGGGAAATTAAAATAACTGATACCACTTTACAATAAAATAAACTGAAAACATTTCGTCCTGATTTTGAGGAGAGCTGTGAGATGTGGGATGAGGTCCAGCCTGTTAGCAGCTGTCATCCCTCATGAGTTCTACATTTCATCATGTGATACACTGGTTTGTGACGTTGATAATTTAGTGTCTGCAGTTAAATCATTTGTGAGACTAAAATGTGTACTGTCTCGCATTAACTGAGATCTGTGTGAACTAGGATTCTGGACCTCAGAGACGGCTGCAGTGACTTCCACCTCTGCATGTTAGCGTGGCTGTAGATGTGACCGGGATGTGGACCCTGACCCACGTTAAAGTCATCTGGAATAAAAACAATAGAGCACACACACAAATTCGAATGTGTAAAATCCCATCCAGCATAATAAGGTAAAGAATGACACGCATGAGTAGAGCAGAAAATCAAAATAAACACATTTTTAGTGGTTTCCATATTTTATTAAAAAATTATATGTATTATATGTAGCTGTTTCTCAATATTATGGCTCATGTTTAACTAATGCATGTAACTAAATCAAAGATGTGACCACGTAAAAACAAAGTAGAAACATTTAAATCACTTTAAGAATTTAAGGGCTTATTTGTTCAAATATAACTGATCCCATGAATTAAAATAAGTGGATAGTTGTGGTAATGTTGGCAAAGATGTTACAGTAGATTTATAAACCACAGAATTTTAAGACTTACTTGTTAAAGGATAGGAGATCAATGGCTCGCTTCTCAAATGTTTGTTGTTTTCTTTCTTCTTGGCTTCTTTGGATGCTTTCCAGTTAATAAGGAACTGTCTGGTTAACTCATTAATGTCCCTGCCGTCGAGAACCTCTGTGAAAATAAATACATACTTTAAACACACAAGCATTTAATTTGAAATTCTAAAATGAAAATCATCTTAAATATTAGCCCGGTTAAGTGCATTTTCAGATTAGGATACCATTGAGAAAGGAAATGAATAATAACTCACCGAGGCGTTTGCACACAGTTATCAGGTGGTCTCTGTACTTTTTACTTTTACACACAGGATTTCCACCCAAATCCATTTGAAGCAGCTGAGGCCAGTGGCTGAACACGTCCTCTAACTCCTAAAAATACACAAAAAGAGAAACTTCACCAGAAGTATGTTGTGTTTTCATTTTAACCACAAATCATTCACATGGCAGTAGTTTGTCTCTACAGCTACAGCTCAGTAACTAAACAGGAAACAATGGACAACTTTCTTTTAAACAAATATGATACATATTTATAATTACTACTCAGAGATGAAAACGTTTGAAGACATGGTAAAAGTGAATGGTAATGTGAAGTACAAGGGCCAATGGAAAGTTCATAAACAACACATCAGTCTATTTTAATAAACAGTGTCGCCGGTGTCATGTAACTACAAGTTCTCTCCTGGGGCAGTGTGAGGCTGGCTCCTCCAGCCAGTTGCCTGCAGTTGTATGTTTATCTAAAGGCACATTAATCCAAGCCTGGAAATATGAATACTCTCTGGACACGCTCTGATTGTTCATTGCCTTCCTGTCTTGGCCAAAGCGCTTCCACTTTTCCAGCTCGTGCTGCAATCAGTTCAGAGGGGACCCCTGAGCACCGCGCGCTCCCAGGCTTTGATAAATGATCGTGTCAGGGCCGTCACTCAGAAGGCCCTCACTGAAGAGCAGCCCAGCGCCAAATTGCCCCCCACGCGGGGGCGTGGAGAACAGCAAAGGTTGGATACTCACTGAGCTTGGCTGGCTCTCTCGCCTGGACTAATGATGGGCCAGTTATGAACCTGTATTTGACCAGGGCTTCGATTCCCCTGTCCTCTCTGCCCTGCACACGGCTAACGGTCTCCGAAGATGCTCCCCATTTGTCACCCGGGCTGACTGCCTGTCATAATCTATTTTAAAAATCCATAATGTTTCCTCTGGATTCTGTGCAAATGGCGCAGAAGAAGGGATTGATCCTTTGGAGGGCTGTCTTTGCAGGATCAATAGTGGCAGACGGGTTGTATAAATTATAGGAGATATCTGCTAAAAATGACACGTGTACAGCAATTACCTGCATCAACGTTCTCAGAAAAAAAATCACGTGTTGAAAAAGTAGCCTCAGCAGTGCAGTCAATTGTAAAGTGCTTCAATGTGTCATCCGAGTGTTAAGAAATAAGAATGACGTCCTTTTAAATGAAGTCATCAACCTTTTCGAATAATATTCATACTTAACACCTCAAAAACAAGCAGATTATTTCCCAAATAAGTCAGCGAGCACAAACCCTATCTCTGCCTCAGATGAGTCTCCTGTAAAGTTAAGTACTGCTGGTTTAAGGTATCAAACGGAGGATTCTGAGGCAGAGAGGAAAAATCAGCAAGGAAAGAGAGAAACTTGTGCTTGTTTAAAGCTGTCAGCGAGAAAAGTCTCAGGGGAACGGCTCGCTGATTTGTTGAATAATTCTGACCCTGTGCGAGTCATGGAGACTGGGAATCTATGGCGGGATTTGCAGGATTTGGTTCTTTAGAACCCTGTTCTCCATATCATTTCACACATCACCGCAGAGAGCTATGGAACAATGTTAATCCTGACCCGATCAACTAATAGCTGGTATGCTGACTTTAATACACCATGTCATGCGTGGTTGCTGTGATGTGGTATTTACTTTGACTGCAGAGTGCACGGCATGCAGTCAGTTTCTACCACTATCACATTGGAGAAGACGTCTTGAACTGGTTTCACAGACACTTCTTAACTACCTCCTTTTAAAGTCATATTTACCTCCATATTGTGCAATTTATTGTCAGCAGCAGAAAAGTGCTGGAGTTCCTTCAGCACGGTCAGGTCTCTGATATCATCGATGTTGTTGTTATTGATATTCAGGACACAAAGCGATTCCTGTGCAAAGAGTTCAGATTGATAAAGAGAGAAGTTATAGATACAAATAAATATATTGTGATCCTAAATGTGTAAACCAAGCACAATAATCAGCCAAATGTTACACTAAATAGGACCTATATTACTATTGTGTGTGGCCAAAGTAAATGTACAGTATTTTCATCCCTTCCTTCGCTTGTGATCCTTTTGCTTAAGCATTTAGATGTGTACACTTTATATGCCTGAACTTCTCGGCTCATGTCCAAATCAGACTCTAGATAGTGCTGTTGCTAAATATTCATCGTGGTTTGAAGTTCTATAATGGCACATTTATAAAAAGCTGGAACTCTTTAAATTTGCACAGCAATTTCTTTAATTATCCAAACAAACAAGAAGCTGAGACTTCTGGTGTGTTTACCCATGGCCTGGGCAGTAAACAAAGTAAACACACCTAACTGATTTGTCAGACCGGAGAGAGCAACAGAGGTCTCTTTGACATCATCAAACCCGGCACAATACTGCTTTTACATGGATCACTGGCCACTGGGAAATCTGAGATCTTTTAAAGTTGATGTGATAACCTACCAGGTTGATACACCACACATATCCTTGTGTAAAAATATTAGGCTATCCTCTGACCTTCTGATTACTTAAAAATATATACAATTGTAAAAGAAGGGGGCCCATATTATGAGTGTGGATCATCCTTTTATCTCGCACTATCTCTGTACTGAGCAGTGTAAAAATAGGTCATACAGCAAGTGAGCGGAGAGCCATGGGGTCAAAGAGCAACTTTTCCCCTGGTGCCAGCCTCTGACTCTCCAGATGAAGCTCCTTGAGCTCACAGAGCTTCTCTAAGCCCTCCACCACCGTGATCCTGTTTCCACCCAGATACCTACAGAGCAGGAAAACCACACACATGTTCAGACACACTGTTAGATTTTAAATTATTACCACAGCACAGGACAACAATCGGTTCAACTTGTCTACTCACAGTTTGGAGAGCCTCTGCAGATTGAAGAGATTCTCTATATGTGTGATGTTGTTGTTCTGCATATACAGATGTGTGAGGTTGGAGGCAAAACCGAGGTTGCAAATATGTGTGATCTGATTATCATACAGATAAAGAACAGTGAGGTTTCTGCACATGGAGAGATCCCCCTGAAAGCAGAATTTAAAAATGAGGCATATAAGAGGAAGAAAAGATGCACCAAATTAAAACCTCAGAGTCAAGAACAGCTACTTACAATATCTTCAATATTCTTGCTGAAGAAGTGGAGGTGGGTGAGTGTCTTGAGGTACTCCGGGAAGGTGAGGCCCCTTTTCTTTTTGAAGTGGTTCCTAGATTTAGCAATCAGATCTACGGTCAGGCGTACCATGGTGGCTCGTCACAGACGCTGCTTTAGAGAAGATCCTTTTCAGCTTCAGCCAAGCATTCAGCCCACAGCAGGGACTAGATCTGTCCGTCGGGGAGAAAATAGACCCGTGTGAGCTGAAATAAACCTTCGCTGCCGAACAAATGCTCCCTAGAATAACTATTTACTAATGCCACATTACTTCAGCATTTAATCACAAATGACAGGCAAAGATTAACCTTATACAGAACTTTAAATGGCCTAAAACCCAATTGTCAATTCACAATTTTGGATAATTGATGTTAAAAGAACATCACTATTCTCCAGGAAACTTGCAAAGAGGCCAAAGCTTGGGCGACCACTCAATTTATGTTGTAATTAGATCGGTCAATATCCCCCAGCAGACTGAGCAGAGCTTCCACTGCTTCCTCTCACTCAGTACCCATGGGGCTTGTTTATTAGCTTGACCTGACATTGAGATATCAAAATTTGCGCTTTGATTGTACTTTGCAATTAGGCTTTATTATACATGCATGCCTCTCCACCTGCTAATTACACAGCAGTCTGTGTGTGTGTGTGTGTGTGGCTGAAATATGGTGGTAGGTAGAGAAAGGCAGAGGGATGTGACAGCAGGTATTTTCCACACTTGATCTCAAGGCATCAGGCCGCGGTTATTGGAGACAAGAGGCACTGATCGATAAACCAGAGCTGGACAGAAGCTAAAGGCTAACTGAACTTATACACCCCTGGGCCTCAGCTCTCCAGGGAGTCGGGGACAGCAGTTTATCACTGTCAAAGAAAGTGCGACACTCATAGATGTCCGCGTGCAGTGCGTGAGGGACAGGAAATATCCACTAAAGTGAACGCAGGTTGGCAGTGAGAGGTGGTGATGAGGTTCACACAGTCGGAGAAATTAGTAGGGTGTTATAAATGAAAAAATGGCCCCGAATTGTGACGATAGCAACGGCTAACAGCTAGCTTAAAAGCTATCGTGACACTGTAGCGCACTGGTATATTCTGTAACAAAACTTAGCACAACATTCCTTCGTATAATGGCGAATTTACTTAATTAATATCAACTAAACTCTCCTACCTCTTCGTGTCTTCAGAAATGTTTAAAATGCGAGCGACTTAAACTGGTTTGAAGAAGTTGTAGTTGTAAAACGAACCGCTGTTTTGTTTGAGAGTACTACGTTGCTATGGAAACCACGGAAGCAACGCATCAGTCGCAGAAAAAGATGGGTCACAGAATTTAGTGCAACACCGGTAAAGCGGACGTAAGTAAATGATTGTATTTATGAAAAATTAAAATAATAATTATATTTCTGTGGTGTTTGTTATGGTTACTAGTATTTTGGTTACAACCAAACGTTCCTAAGTCTTATCGCCCTTTCAGGGAAATACCGGAAGTTGCTACGTAGTACATTATTTTAATTATTTATTTGTATTTATAATAATTCATTCGAATGGTTATAAATGAATAAACGACAAAAGGGAGAGACTAACTCAATTCTAACTAACTAAAAATGAATTGGTTATATGGTAGGAATTTAACAGGAATGTAAGAAACTAATTTGCAGTGTAAGCAGTGTAAGTCTTACAATAGCATTATTAATCACATATTAACAGGAATAACATCCACTGAATCAAGGGGGTAGCTTTAATTTCAACAATGGGGGGACACTTATGAAAGGGGGGTTTAAGGGACCTCTGCCAGAAAATTTTGAGCATCAAACACTTTGATTCCTGCATTGTAGTGAAATTTTGTTAACCATTTTGTACATTTTCTGCATCAATGTATGGTGTAAATGTCTATAATTTTGTCCAAATAAAAGTCTTCTGCTGCTTACCTGTTTTATATGAGGGAGATAAATGCGTATGTTCTAAGTACTGAAATGTACACCTATGCACTGAACTAAATGTGACTATATGTTGCTAAAACTTACTGCTGTTCACATTTTCTGATTTTGCTGCTAAGATAACATTTATCCAAGCTATAGTGTTCCTCTTTCAAGGCCACATACCAAATCAGGACCACAGCCCACTTTTCCCAGTGACCCCCACAGTGCTAATCTATATCATGTCAAGACCTGCGTTTCCTGTAAGAGAGTGACTTCCCTCCACTTATGCAGGAGCACATGGTGGAGAGGAAGTGTAGCACCTCCAGCTCTCTGAGCTAGGATCAACTTCTTCACACACGGGGTCATGCTTGTGGGGTTAATTCCTCTGAGAGCCAAACTAAACATAACATCTCCAGATCTTGGTGGGGTCATTAGATCTACAGGGTCTACATACTGTAGCTACTCATAGCTATTAATCATGAGCCTTATCAATGTGCTGCTCTCATATCAGTCAGTGCCAAATCACTCCTTTACTTGTCTGTGGACAGCAAAGAAGGCGGCATTCCACTGCAATCTGCAAAAGCTTTTTTAATACTAATGGGGAACATATTTGGGATTATAAAACTGCTAAATGTTACAAGAGTAAGCTTAAATGCACGAGTAATGGATTTTTGGCTGCCCACAATTTGACTTGATTAAAATTTACATACATTTTCCTATTCCATCTTTAGTCATGCATACAAATGTCCATCTGGTGATAATCACAATATTTACATGTCCAACGAGTTCAATATGTTTCACTGATTCTTAAATCACCATGAAGACCAAACATGAGGTGAAACTATTTTAGAAGTGCATACCCTAAATTCTTTCTCAGCACTATGACAGTCATCCATGTAATACATTTAAATATCTGGCAAAAACACCAGCTATTCAGCAGACCGTGTGTGCAGAAAACCTATTCAACTATTTTAAATTCCTAAACATTAAATATAATCTAATAAGTTTCCTCTTCCTAAACCGCTATACTGAACACCCTCCAATTTAGGGCATGGCTTAAATACTGGTAAAAGAAAATCATTATAAGAAGTGGTGCCAAAGCTCATGTGCATGAGAAAAAACAGACACCTCCACTGCCCCACTGGGATTGTCTCCTCTGCGATATATGACATCAAAAATATACATTTGGCCATTACAATACAAGGAAAAAAGACATGACACAAACCCAGGCCAAAGCGGCTGTCTGTAAAAAAAAGGCAGACTTGGTGAGTGTCTGCTTCGATGGAGAGCAGACACGTTGGGTGAATAGACTCCAGTGTGTACGGCTTCTGTTTCTGCGCTGCATCACTGCCACGCCACAACCTGACGAGCTGGCCACTCCGCCGGAGTGTGTACCACCGAGAGCCAAACTGTGCTGGGAGTGACTCCGCAGAGACATCCCACACATGGCAGCCGATTCCCTTTGAGCCTGTGCAGAAGCTTGAGTTTGTTGTTCCATTATGTAACGCTGTGACACACTGCACTTCAATGACTGACTGGTGCTCGGACAGGCTGTGCGTTACATGCAACCATGGTGTGTTCATATGTTGGGCTGCGGAAGAACATATCCCCTACACACAAAAAGATTTTTACCATGAAGGGTAATAATGCTGCAGTGCCTCATGCCTTCAAAATACTGCACTATATTAACAAAGGACTGAATATGTGAAGACAAACATTGGAAAAAAAACAGTGAAATAATTCCCAGCTTTATGTTGTGTAATATAGTGAAATAAAATCAAAGCATTTTTGTTTAATATGAAATACAAACATAGAGCAGCTGCACTTTTTTATATTTTATTTTTTGCACAAGTCCTTGACTGTATAATCCTTAGCTACTTCTAGGACAAAAGAAGAAATTGAATGAAAAAACACCCCCCAGAGAAATCACAGATAATCCTACCCTTGGCAGTTAAACATAAACCAATAAGTGCTACACATGCACAAGATTTCCAGGTGAAATCCACATCAGCTCATAGTTCAGGTTTAATTGCCAGACGTGTTGATTTGATTGAAGAGTTTGTCCTTAATGACTTGAGACATGAGGCCATGAATTGCCTCAATGGTTGTCTTGCAGCTAAAATAAACCACAGTGAAAAATGGAGATTAGTCCAGGTACCCACAGACACAATTTACAGAGATGTAGCATAGACACTAGTATCAGTCGACTATCAAGAGCTATACATTGTTAAGGTGTTTACAGTCATGAATAGTACAATATCTCTACTTGTGTATCAGATATTGCTAAAACTAAAATGAATAAAAACAGATTTGTAGGCTTAGTTCTGATGCACTTTTGGTTAGTCTGAATTATTAATCACACTACTTATAAATAAAAATATTAAAAACCCAATAGACCACATATCGAGAAATAAGGCTAATTCTAAGTCGATTAAAGATTGCCAAAAAAAATAATTAGTAGCTATTTTGATAACTGAATAATGGTTTCAATCATTCTGTTTTATATCATTGTAAACTGAATCTCTTTGAAAAGATGGTCAGGTAAAACAAGACATTTAAAGATGTCTTTTTGGAAACTGGTATTTTTTATTCATTTTTTACATTTTTAAAAAAAAAGATGACTTCATTATTTGAGAAAAAAAACCTGCAGATTGACCAGTGACAACATAAATGTTGGTCATAGCCTTAAATCAAACATTTGATTGACTTTTAAGATTGAAACTAGCACAAACATTATATTACCAGCCTTCCTTCATACCAGTGCCCATTAAAATGTTATACAAAATTAAGGTTATTGTTAACATAACATAATAACATGTGTATATGATGATTCTTTTCAGGATCTATAATATAGAGTACGCAACAGGAGCACAGTGAAATTATAGTCCCCAAAATAAATCAAGTACACGTTTACATTTGCAGCCTTTTTTTTTTTTTTTTTGAGATATTTTTTGGGCATTTTTGCCTTTAACTGACATGATAGCTAAGCGTGAGGGGGAGAGAAAGAGTGGGAATGACATGCAGCAAAGGGCCACAGGCTGGAGTCGAACCTGGGCCGCTGCGGCAACAGCCTTGCACATGGGGTGCCTGCTCTATCCAAGAAGCCACCGACACCCCTTGCAGCCTTTTTTTTAAAAGGAATATATTTACCTATCTCGTGTTGCTTTGGCCAGCTTGTCCTCAGACTTCCTGTCATGTGTGTCCAACCCGAGCATGAAGCTGCCTCTGCCCAGCTGGGCCTCCGACTGCTCCAGCTTCTCCGACAGGTCAAACACCTGGCCTGTGGTGTAGTCCGAGTTCTGACCGACCGACCGACCGACCAACACACACACACACACACACACACAGACACAGACACAGACACAGACACAGCCACACACACACACACACACACACACAAATTCATGCACAATTTGCCAACAAAAGCCAGATACCAGATTTTCCACAAAGAAGAAGATTTTTGCAGCATGGCAACAAATCTGTCTAACAAGCTGTAAGAACACTCTGTGTGTTGTGGTGAATGAAAAGACGCCAGTGAAAAGTTTACTTAAGGTGAGGCCGTGTTTTTAGTGGAAAAGGTAATTAAAACACAATGACACGGGGGCCCCCGACTAGGGTGACAGTGTAGCAACTGACAAAGCCTGTCACCCAAGGAGCAGCTCGTCCTTGACATCTAGTCAATTCATCTTCATCCAGAATGCCAAAGAGCTAACTGTTTGGATAAGCCTGATGCCTATTTAGACTGTTTAGTCAAGCTCGGGACAGAGTGACTGCATCCACAATGGGAATTCACATGAGGGGCTTTCAATCTTTACAATGAACTGCGGGGGAGAAAGCAGATGATCCACGGTGAACCATGACAGCATTCGTATCAGTGGAGTTGGGTCCAACTTTAATACTTATCTCCCTTGTTAAAAAGTTTAAATGAAGCTTATTACTAAAATCAATAAACAGGGACTCTTGGCTACTAAGCTGCAATAAATCACTACATCACAAGCGGGTGACCACATGTCTCAATGAGTTATAGTGTAATAATTAACCATTAATCAAAATGTCAAACAATTAGCAAGCATTTAGTTTTTTGAAGTTGCCTACATACCGTGAGGAGACTTGAGGAGCTTAAAGTATTGACCCAATATTTGTTCCAAAGGAGTTCCAGAAGCTTTCTATCGAGGGAGGACTTAAAGTAAGTTACCTCCAAGGCGTAATACCTGAATACAACAAATCAAAGAAAGAACATAAGCCACATGCAGCCATAAAGTAAAGAGTACACTACTTGCAAGCACTGAAATTAAGGTACACATTAAAAATATAATTTACATGACATGTATTTATAATTACTGTTATGAATATCTCTAATACTCACTGTTTACAGTGAACACCAAAGTCTTCAATCTTGTTCAAGGGGATTGTCTGGTATTCTGACGGTCCCTCATCAGGAGGTTTGTAACCCTGAAAATTTAAAGAGGAAATGCTGAAAAATGACAACAAACAAAAAAGCTTTCTTGCACCGTAACCAGATAATTATTACACTAATAAGGAATGAGGTCATGAGATAGACAGGCAACTAAAAGATCTCAAAGTCTAGTTCATATAGCATAACAAATACACAACAATAAAATCCAAATTCAAAAACTACAAACCACACATGCACTGCAAATTATTTTATTACTATTACAATTATAGTCTCAGGAGAACTGCTGCTAAATACAGTCTTTGCTTTACCTTTGGGTAGGTCCTAAAGGCGCCAAGGTTGACTTTCCCTGCAGAAATAGTCCGAGTGGGGTCGATCTGTACGAGGCAAGATACAGTAGAACAGGAAAACAAAGTCAGGGGTCATACAAACCTCCAGGGACCACTCAAATCCGGTCACGAGGAGCCTTTTGCTACAGCTGTCAGTGTGCTGGAAATACATACTTAATTATATAACGCCGACGGCAATTAAGCACCACTGAGCTAAATGAAGTGTAAATAGCATATACGGTTGCAATAGCAAAATATTCATCAATACTACATGGAAACCTACAACTCATGCATCAACAATCTCACTGCCTTCTCAGTTACACACACATTAACTTTGATAATCATGGTTAAAAAAAGAGAAGGTTTTACTCTCCTTAATACCATTTTCATGGAGTGAAATTAGAAAGCACAGTAAATTAAGTATTTGGCTTGACGTTAAAAATGATAACTATTTCCACAGTCTTACCACAACGGCCACGAAAGGCTCCTGAAACTGCTGGTTGAGCATCTGAGTGCTGACATCTATGCCCGAGAGCCAGCATCCGTAGCCTGGGTGACTGTGGTACCAGCCAATAGCGTTCTCCAGCCGGCCAACCTGAGGGATTAAAGATAGATGTAAGACATTATCCAAGGCATGAAATATATCATCATACAATAACAGCACAGAAAATAACCACCAAATGTTATTACTGCATTGCATTTGGTGCAGTGTATAACAGCATTTTGTCATCATTATTTTAAGGAATAACTGACAATACAGCAACAGGATTAAAGTATGATGTATTTTTTTAGGAAGAAAAACACACGCCATGTAGTAGCTGTGTTAGAAATAAACAACAGGATTGGATGGGTGTGACAGAGGTAGTATAACAACCCACTTTCATAATATATATAATGTCATATTGCAGTCTTGATATATAATTCCATAGTGCATTTTAAAGTCAATTGACAAACAGTTTATGGATGAAATAACCAGACAGGAGTGTTCAATATTAACTAAACCTGTAAATTAATTACAGATCAAGGTACTTCATCATTTACACTGATGCACAACGATGAGTAAAGAAATTATAAAACAAATGCCAACATTACAATACAGTATCCCTGCTTACTGCTTTGCAACAGTGTCCATTATGGCCTAATACAAAGAAGGATATTAAAACAGTAGCTACTTTAGTATTAACAGAAGACAAAACTTATTTAATCTGACTTTATACAGCGCCATATCACCCAGTATCAATTTCAAAACTCATGTGGATGTATGCCTACACATTGCAAATACAAAAGTGATTTTTAATGGAATAATTAAATGAAATCTGTCCATTTTCGTTGCTATCAATAACATCTATAGAAAGAGATGAACTATAGATCAAAATACTGTAACTGAACAGAGTGAATGCAGTGTTTGGTCCCCTCTCTCAATCATGAAATGTGTAAGATGCCCTTAAGAAGTCAGTGACCGACCTGTTTGGCATTTTCAATGTAGGCAGCCATGTATTCATATGCTGCAGCCTGGGCGTTGACTCGTGTTTCTGTGCCCTCCACAGGCAGGGCAAAGCTGTCCATAATGATCATGGTTTCACCATCCACCTTCCCCAGCATGAGGCCCATCACCTCCAGGTTTCCTCCAGACCTGGCATGCATCACCATCTTCAACAGGGCCAGGGCAGAGATCTTGCAGTACTTGAAATAGTGATGACTATGGGTCAAAAGGATACATATGCATTAGCAGTTATATTAAGTTTGTTGGGGCTAATGTTAAGAAGTAGATACATTTGCAAACACACACCACACAGTTATAACGTTACTGCTGTTGACAAACAACACAATGCTAGTTGTAGCTAAGCTATCAGAAGGGTGTTTTACCAATGAACTAGCGCTGCATTTACATAACATACGACATCGAAAATGTAGCTAAAGAATCACTTTAACTAACGTTTAACACCACATTACTGTTTTGTACTCACTCCTTTGTCCATGGCTTCGCGGCGAGGATTTCTTGTTGTTGCTTTTTGTCATATTTGTAAATTTCGTCTATGCTCTGAACTTCCTGCATGCTGTTCGATAGCTCCCATGTTTTCTGAGCTGTGCTACTCCCCGCCATGATGAGTTATCTAAGTAAAACAACCCCGAGTCGTTAAAACCCCAATTTCTGCACCTGTAAGAAAAGAAATGTTGTGTTTCTCCAAAGATTTAGATAACGTTACCATAACAGAGCTAACGTTAAATGTCTACTTGCTCAGGGAGCCATGACAGTGGGTGATACCAAAATACCAAAGTGTAATCGTGGGGGTCGTTTGTCACAATTTTAGCGAATATGACGTTAATATGTTTACATTGTGTATTAAATATGTTGAAATTAAACTTAATATTTGAAAATGCAACAATAACGTTCCACCTGAAGCGATGTTTTACCGTATCTACCACTCATATTAAAGTACAGTCACCCCTCCACCAGAATGCCTGGTTCAGTCCCGGGAAGACAACAGCTAACCGTTGGGGACACACTGACATCTAGCGGCGCTTTTCAGAAAATGAAGATGAAGAACGTCTCTGCATTTACATCTTGGGCACTGTACTTAAGTGAGGGTTAAGGTATTAAACGAATCGACAAAAATGCAGCTAAGTTCATTAATTAAATTAATGTCTTCACGACAGAGCCCACAAGCAAAGCTAAAAGGACTACTGAGGCTACTTGGTACTTAATTAGTTTGTTGTCGGTAAACTAGCGAGTAAACTTGATTTCAGTTGATGTTTATCATGTTAAAACCACTTAAGCAGCCAATTAACTCCAAACCCCAGACTCTAAAGTGATATAACATAATTTAAACAACGAGTTTGACGTGTCTTAGAAATATTTTCAATGTTTTGCGGTGCTATGTAAGCTAGGTTAGTTAGCCTCTCCTGGGAGGACCTTTGTGTCATGGTTGCCTGTAGCAACGGAATGATGCTTTGCGCCATGCTGGGAACCTACACAGGATCATTTGGCACTTTTTGGTCTGTATAGGCAAATAATATAAATCTGAACAATTTTATACGTTATAATGTTTTGTTTGACTGATTTGGACTGAGCAGAGTTTAAGCAGAACTTTTGTGTACATTTTGTGTATTTGCTAGTAATTAATGGACGAAAGATGGGACGTTTTTCGAGGAGCATAAGGAGGAAACACCCAGAGATACATCATCACTGAAGTGTGATACATCATTCATAAATGCAGATCGAGGTATGTGAAGTATCAGTATCTAATGATTACCATGTCGTTCTAAAGAGCAAATATACTGAATTTATGAATGCTGTCTACAGTCGAGGACTGATAACAACACAGTGTGGATATGCCTCCAGCATCAGCATTATTAAGAATGTCCCCTAATCCAGACAGAGGTATTGTGCAAGTCTCAAATACTGAACAGTGAACATAATGGGAGTATAGGTTTAAGTCATACAGTTTATGTGGTATATGTTTATTACTTCCCAGGTTTGGGCGTTAGTTTGCTGCTGGGAAATGACTATGAGAGGAAGAAGAAGAAACTTCAGCTGGAGCTTCAACTGGACTACAAACACTATGCTGCCCAGGTCTGATGATGTATTTGAAACAATCAATAAGATATGTTTCACTATGTTGCCGACTCACCATCCTGTCCTTTGTTGTCACGCTCTTTTTCCAGAAAAAGGATCTAAAAACCCGTGAACCTTGTGAACAACCCCAGGGTTTCTCCTTACCTATTGAGGAGAAAACATCTGTTCAGGTGTGTGTGTGTCTGTGTGTGTCTTTGTGCCCTGGTGGGTACTTAAATGAGTACATTTTTGTCTGTGTGCCCCTGAGTCTGACATAACAGGAAGCAAGTCACTCTCCATAGTCATCAAGATGAGACCTCCCCTGGCATGATGTAACATGATCACAACAACACCAATGGAGTTGATATACAGCAGTGATTGTACAGGGCTCTGTGTCTCGTGGCAACTGCTTTCGTGCTTGCAGATGTGTCAAAGCTTACTAAGTAGGTCGAAGATGTTGCAGCATGGTACAACACTGGCCCAGTGGCCTAATGGATAAGGCATCAGCCTCCGGAGCTGGGGATTGTGGGTTCAAGTCCCACCTGGGTCGATAAGTTTATGAGGACTGTGCATCCTTGAAAGGCTACAAATATCATAAGGTCAAAATGCCCATAATGCAGGGAGAAACTGACCTTGAAATGTGTTAATATGTCATGTTCTGAGAAACCATATTGTAATTGTTCTGTTACAATAAGCTGAGATAATGCTCTAACATGAAAAGTACAGTGAGGTGTCTTATATTCAAAAGATGATTATGTATATTTAGTTTCATTGTTATGTGTGTGAGGATTGAAACTATTTAAAAACATCTATATTAATTAGACATCAAAAGAGAAATGACTGAATGAAAGTTGGAAAAGGGGAGGGGATGACATATAATATTGGTATTAATTAGTCGATTCAAACATAGCATTGAAATTATGTGACTGGTGCCCTATCTGACTAAGACATCACTGAATTTGTTTCTCTCACAGGAAAAACTAAGAGAGGAGAGAAACAAAGAATACAACCTCTTCCTACAGGAAAAAGCTAAAGTTAGAAGGTTAAAGAGAGGAACACCTCCTGTCACTTCAAAGGTAATGTGAATAATAAAAGAACACATTTTTGCAAAACAATAGTAAATATGTGGAGCTCTTTAAACAAAATACATGGTTGGAAGAAGATTTTTTGTTATGTGCTGTAAAACTAGGTATAAAGTAAATCTTTTCTTCTTCTTCTTTTTTTAATTCTCACACTTAGCCTGAACAGGTTCAAGCTTCAGATGCTGTGTACATTTCTTCTCCAGCTTCACATACAAACACACACCCTCCTCCCAGGGAGCGCCCTGCATCCAGGAGAGATGCTGCCACTCTGACTGAGGCAGTGGATAATGGAAAAAGCAGAGGGACATGGGGTCCAGGCAATCACGGACGAAGGCGATGGCAACTCTATAAACTGAAGGAGCCCTACAGCTCTGAGGAGGAGCCAATCACTGACAACGAGGATGAGTTGGAGTTCAGACGTAGGAGGCGACTAGACAGATACACTCCAGAGCCTGAGTACAAAAAGGAGAGGAGAACAAGAGAACGCAGAGCTAACAGGTGTAGCTTTTTTCTGTAATATGATTTTGAGCTATATTCACTTGTTACATATATACCATAGACAGAAGAGCAGGTGTGATAGTATAATTTCTCTTCACCTATCTTATCTGTTTCTGTGGCAGAGCTCCTCGGGACATAAAGGAGGTGGAGGCTCCTGGTGTTCATGATCGGAACAACAATGATTGGGTTCAGAAGTCAGAGTAAGCAAGTTTAATTTCTACGTACAGTTCTGGTCGACTGCTGTATTGAGATTTGTAATGCCGAAAAAGAGTTATCCTAGATAGTACACACGCAGAACTAGACAGCCAATAACATCCTCCTGGAAAGTCACATACATTTTCTCAGTCAATAAACTAATCTGATTGAATGAGCCAATATAGTCATAGATCATTGCTGCCATACTCGGTTATTGCTCTCCAGCACTTTTGTTACTTGCTGTTTCCTTTCATTGTTTCCGTTCATGCCATTAAGTTGAGCTGCTCTCAATAAGCTGTTAACGTGTGGGGCAGTGATGGAGGGTGGGGGGTTGAGCATTGGCCCAGCTCCAGGCAAACAATTACTCACCTTAGTTCTATCAGAGCAGCTGGATTGATTGGAGAATAAGGCTTTACCCCATCTCTGAGAGCAGAAAGCTCTGCGGGCAAACTAGAAGGCAGTGCATGATGTAAAATGGTTGCTGGGTGTGGCTCAGATGGGAACTGATTGCTGTGCTGTTACCCTTATACACTGTCAGTAATGGGGTGGCTCTAGTGGAATATCTGGTTCTGTCTGTGTTTAATAGTCTGCAAATGCCAGACAACATGAGGACGGCTGCAAGATCCAGACCTGCTACCAGCAAGGATAAAGCAGAGTTTGCTACTGGACTATTGATTGGTAAATACCATTTTTATTGCATGAGTGTGGAATTATTGTGGAATTTGTCACTTGAAATCCCTATTCAGCATCATAAGTGACAGCGCTTGCATGTTAATGGCTCTCTGTTGTCACACAGGAGCAACAGAGGAGCAGACGGCCTCTCAGATGAGGAAAGAACAGTACAAGCAAGAACTGCTGCAACAAATTGCCGAGCAGCAGAAAAATAAGATCAGGTGACTATTTATTCACTAAATCAACATTTTCTTTAAAGTAGTTTCAGCTTGCACATCTCCATCAGTCAACAAAACACAAAGGATATGGTGATTTTTTTCAGGGAGAAGAAACTTGAGCTGAGGGTTGCTGCCACTGGAGCCATAGACCCTGAGAAACAGGTACAGCAGAATGGCAAGAACAGGCTGAAATTGATACAGCTTTTAGAAACATATTCAGGTATTATACTCAGCAGATGTATCAGTCCTGCATTTCTTGCTGTATTTGAATAAAGTATTGTAGAATTGCCTCTACAGCACACTTTTGATGGCATGCCTTGAGCATCACCCTATCTTGAGGTTTTCTCAATATCTGTTGCCTGGTTTCCTTTCATGTATCTCCTCTACACAATGCTCACCTCTTCCAGCCCGACCGAATTAAACAGTTTGGGGCTGTAAATCGGCAATATGACAGCTGGAGACGAGATGTCCCCTACAAGCCCGGAATAGATCTGGAGGCCGGAGGGAAAGACCCAAATCCAAGGCCAACAGATGACAAACCCATTCAGGACACAGAACAGAGAAGCCCACCAGGAAAGTCTCATAAGGACTACAGTGCAGCTCTCAGTCAGCTGACAGGGACGACAGCGCCTGGGTCCATAACAAGAGCAGTGCAAGGTGTCTCCCCGCTGGACTATTTTAATGAGGACTACCACAGGGACTTCTCAAACATGCTAGGAGAAGTGGCTAACCCGAGGTAGCTCACTATTCCTATGTGTTCCTATACATGAATGGCATTAACAACTCTTCTGTAAACTCATTGTACTTCATGTGATTTTGTTTTTCAGGGTTGCTGGTGTTCCTCTTCCTGTTGCTCCTACTGTACCTAATAATTACAACACTCCATATGATGCAGCGTACTACTACTATGGAACCAGGAATCCATTAGATACTAATCTTCCTTACAATCAGAGTACAGTATTTTGGCCATCTTCATGTTGTATTTGCCTCTTTGCCTTTAATCAGAAATCATATACTTTGATTAACTGTGAACCATTTTTGATAGCAGGCTTTCATGTTTTTGCATTATGAATTGTGGTTGACTGAACATTGAAACATTAACTGTCAAATGTATGTAATCATTGTGACTAAAAGCATTTATGGTGTTTAATGCTAGCATTTAGAGCATTTTAAAGAGACAGTTCACCCCAAAATCAAAAATACATATTTTTACTCTTACCTGTAGTGCTTTTTATCAGTCTCAATTGTTTTGGTGTGAGTCTTTGAGTTTTGGAGATATCAGCCATAGAGATGTCTGCCTTCTCTTAAATAAAATGGAACTCGAATGGTGCTCGGCTTGTGCTACTCCCACCACCCAAAAAATAGGTTTGAAAAACTCAACAGCAATGTCTCTTTCCAGAGATCCTGACCCTGTTACTCAAGATAATCCACAGACCTTGCTGAAAGTAGTAGAAACTGTTTTTTTTTCTACTAATCTACACCACCAACCATATCACTGCGCAGAAAAAGCATGCATCCACTCATGGACGAGAGGCTCATGCTAATGACAGCATGAGATGTAAACATTAATGGCATCCTCCTCTGCTGAACTAGCTAGCTCAGTGGTGCTAGGTGAGCTAGCAGTAGATGCACGCTTCCTTCTGCGTGGTGATACAGTTGGCGGGTGTGGTTCAGTTGAAAGAAAATAGTTCCTACATGAAACTTCTCACAACAAGGTCTGTGGATTATCTTGAGTAGCCAGGTCATGATTTCTGGAAAGAGACATTGCTGTTTTTCAAATATACTTTTTAGGCACTTTGAGCACCATAACGCGATTGCTGTCTAGTTCCATTATATTTGAGAGAAGGCAGACATCTCTATGGCTGATATCTCCAACAATCTGCAACTCATACCAAAACAATCTGGACTGATAAATAGCACCACATGTAAGAGGAAATATATGCATTTTTGATTTTGGGGTGAACGGTAAAAAACATGTAACTTTTTATGGTTGTATGGTCATGCATGGAAACCTGTGTCTGCTTGGAGACAGGAGAAACATAAAAAATCTATGAGGCTCTGGAAGATAGTCAGCAGGAATGTAAAATATGCATATTTGTAGTCACTGCTGGTCCAGAGTCATTGCCGTGTCTGGTGTCTTCACAGTCATAAACCAACTCACAGTAAGAAAAAAAAAATATATATATAATTTTTTTTCTTCCTTTACCTCTGGACGCACAGCCCGGAGTTTTTCGACTAACGGAAGTGCAGGGGCCTCACGCCCTTCACTTCTGGCGGTGCCCCCAGGGAATGGCCGTGTTGTTTACAAATACTTAGGGTAGAAAACCAGCACAGTTTAGCTATATATCACATTTTTCACGTCACTATATCACCGTGTAGACTAATCTGATGTTTGTTAAGTCTATAAACACAATGACTGAACAAACGTTACTATTTCTGTGTGCACGTTTTGTAATTAATATGGTTATCGTAGATTAGCTGGGCTAACCGTTAGCTGTTAACGTTAGCCGTTAGCGTTGTCTATAACCATAGACTGTATAAAAATATGGTAATAACTCAATAAACGGTCCGTGAATAAAATATTTTTTCCAGCGAATATTTTAGATTGAGCTAGCAAAGCAGTTTTGTGTTGCTATGTGTGGTATTTATTCAGTTACGGGAAATCACGATGTCTAGAAAGCATCAGTAGCTGCAGCTGACAGGGACAGTTAGCAAAGCTAACATCAGGACGTCATCTGTTAAAAGCCTCCCGTTGCCGGATACGAAATGAAACTACTCCAGTTAGCTCAATCATGTTGTAACTCAGACAGCCGCTGGAAAAAAATATTTTTTTGCACGTTGACTAGACGGCATTACTGGAGCGGTCGCTATGGACGCGGACCTTGCTGTTTCTGTAGGTACACATTTCCTGGGGACACCTGCACGTCTCGGCCATGCCCCCTCCATTGTGATTGGCTAAAGCGCAGCATGTTCAGACTCAAAGCCCCGCCCTACCCCCCTCTCTAGTCGTCTTTCACACAGGGCTGCCGACAGATTCTACGATGTAGACTGCAGAATCTGTCTTGAGAGATTACATTGGCTTAAACAAACTCCCAGACCTCTCTGTGGAGAGAACTATTGCCATTTATTATGGAGCCACTTTATCGCCATATCAATGGCCAAGAGGACTTGGCGTAGCAATTCATAAATCTTATTTTACAGCACAACTGATTTTATTACTAAGGGGATATATACAGTTTATTGGATATGAGTTCAGCAGATCCAGATGGATCTCATTTCATCCAGCTCGTCTGTTTGGTTACATTTATTTTCTTTCCATTGTAATTTTGCAGCCAAATTTTAGCCCTGATTTGAGCTCACAAACATTTTAATGTGTTGGGAAAATAAGCTGACAGCCTGTGGCAGCAGATAGGTAATGAAATTGTTTGTTTTATTATCTTGTATTTTTGTATATTCTTTATTAGATGATCTGCCTGGAGGGGTGCAGCAGCCGTGGGATTTCTATAGTCCTCCTCAAAGACCACCTCCCAAAACCAGTGGCCACAACAAGTCAGTGTCTATTTAAGAGTTGTGTATTCATCCAGATGATAAATTCAATGTACACAATTTAAAAACATTTTCAAAATGTGTGTGGCTCCTGTTCTTTACACTGAAAATCAATTTTCAGAGTGTGAGAGCTTTCAGATTGGTAGATGTTCATAAGACTTTTTGTTTTCTTCCAGAAGAGGGCCCTCACTGCCAAATAACTGTGGCTGTCAGTACCTCCTGCACACATGCCTCCTCATTATTTGTCCCTCTGTCTGTGCTTCCAGAGAAAGTGATCAGCATCGAGCGTATCCCCTGGATGTTGGAGAGCTTCCTGCAGACAAGTCCAAGCAGAGGAGAGAGAGTGTTCTGAACTACCAAGAAGCACTGAGACAGCAGGTATGACATCAGATCTACAAGATACCATCTCATCGCTGTGAGCAAACCCAATGTTTTCATATATAACAATTTGTGTTCAAGAACTGTTTTGGGCAGTGTGTTTTTGCACCCACCTTGCGGTTCTGTTAGCTGGTAGTTGGATGTTTTTAGAGGTTGTGGAAGCAGCACACTGTCTGACATGCTAACTGTCCCAGTGACATGCTAGTAGTTGCTGTAACAGGCTACTACCTTCATGCTGATACCAAAGGAACCCAGACACTGACTAATTTTAGGGAAAACCCCAGATATTTTGACAAAGACCAGAGCATGGTGGAGTCTGCATTTTCCTATGATTAAAGAAATACCTTGTAGCAAGGCTAGCAGTGACTCGCACTCCACTAAAGTGGTCTCAGAAAGGGCTTCAAATTTTGCATCATCCTGCCTTCCCTGTGACCAGATCAAAGAAAGAGAGGAGCGTAAAAGAAGAGAAAAAGAAGAGAAGGAGCGATATGATGCCAAAATAGAGGCTGAGATGATGGCGTACAACCCCTGGGGGAGAAGCGGGGGAGGCGCTCCAATTAAAGACCAAAAAGGCAACCTTGTTAGTAAGTTGGCTTTTACATTCTCTTTTAATGAGTTTACCCAAATCTGAGATAATTTCATGATGGCTCATAATAAATGCTAATGCAGCATGTTTCCACGCCCTCAGGTGACCTGAATCAAATGCACAGGACCAACGAGGAGACATATAGGAATCCTATGTCTAGGAATAGTGGAGAGACACAAAGCTTTTTAATGAGGATGGTAGACACTCCCAGAGATAAAGCCAGGGCTCCCCTTTCCCATCGAGTATCAGGTAGTGTTTGGCCTCTGGGTGATTGTGTCAAGCTTGTGGCAAACTGGGTCCTGCCATCCACGGTATTTCATTGTGCTGTGCATTTGTGTGTGCACATGTACGCAATATTCTTCTTTATTGATGGTATTATTATCTTTCTCAATTGTTCTTTCAGGTTTCAATGAGAAGCCAACTCCACAGCAGCTCCAAATGCAGGACAAATACAAAGAGGACCTGAAACAACAGGTAGGTCCAGTGTCACATTATAAAATCTGAATACTTCAAGACCATTTTGAGGAAGTTTTAAACTAACTATACCTGCAACTTGTCATTAATAACAGATAGAGGAAAATAAGCAAAAGCAGGCACAGGAGGCAGAGCGAATGAGGATTGAGGAGGAGAAGGAAGAGAAGAGGCTGGCAGAGCAAAGGGCTCGCATACAGCGAGAATATGAGGAGGAGCAAAGCAAGCAAAAGAAGATTGAGGTGAAGAGTTCATGTCTTTGATGAAGAGCCCTTCATCTTTCCTCCATCCTGACAGTTAAGGGGGTCTCCTCACATTGGGCTTGCTGTTGAGACACAGTTTTCTTTACTCTCTACAGCACAGGCTGGAAAACCGAGATTGGATCCATGAGCCTAAAACACAACACCAGGAGGAGGAAAAGAGGGTGAGGCGGGAAGAAGAGATTGAGAAGAAGGTACCTGAGAGCGCCAGGGACAGAGAGAAGAAAAAGGCGCTGTTGAGTTATGAGGTACAGTAAGCCTGAGAAGACACTGGCGCTGTAGCTTCCAGTTTTATTGAACATCTTTGTCAAGTGATGTGACTCTGCTTGTAAATTTGCAGAGAGAGCCATCTCCTCCTGTCCCAACCTTGCAGAGGAGGCAGACAAATCTTGTGGCATCCAGACCTTCTACTGTTGTAAGCCAACTCTCCGCCAGGACTGTAAGTCACTCAGTAAACGGATGCAAATATTTTTACATCAGAGCTAATTTGGTGTTAATCTAAAATATAAAAAGTCCTGCAATTTTCACAACAGGAGCGCTCTGTGTCAGCGCCACAATCCCGACCAGTCCCTGCGACGAAACCCCAGCTACAAGGTAAGACTGTCTGGAGTTACTTGTGCACAACCCCACCCTTAAAAAATTCAATTTCTACCTATGTGTAAATCATAAATTGCTATTTAAATATTTATTGTTCCCATTCTTGTCTCTGTCTCCCCTCACACCCTCTGCTTACTTCAGATGGTCACCAGGAAGTGATCAGAGAGCTGTCAGCCCTCCGTAGATACCTGAGGAAAGAGCAGAGACAACTGGAGGTTCAGCTGGGTCAGACAGATCAACAGGGGAGTCACTCCATTCCCCCCAACAGGTATTACAGTCAGACACCCATGAACACCAGGGGTAATTTGTGTCCGTATAGTGTGCCCAGAACGGATGGGATTTTATTACTTTCTTCTTGGCTAAAAAATGAGCCATTTAGAAAACCTATTAGATGTGCTCTATCCCTTCAGGTCCAATTTCACCTATTACACCCCCAGACACATTAAGGTGAACCACAATACTAATTCTGTCTTGTTAAATGGCAATTTTGATTTGCTATTTGTATTTAAGGAGGCTTCCTAGTGCTCTGAACTAATGAAAGTGACCCAGGTCAAATTGGCTATCTTCTAATCTCCATTCAGAATTGTTTCGGGGACTCATTACTGCAGTAATGTTACAGTGTGATCCCAGAGGGACATTTCTTTTTCCTCTGTTTTCATCTTGCAAGATCAGCAAGGTCATCTGCAGTACAGCATCCAATAGGGATTCAGAGTGTTGCTGAATAGCACTTCAACACATGTGGCTGAAAAACACACGTGAGTCATGGTATGTGAGTAAATTCCACCCCTGAAAGGACAGGAATGTACTACAAGCTGCTTGTAAAGTCTCTGCTTATATTCAAATAAGTTTACTGCAAATCATCAGAGAAATGCGTTTGAGCTGGTGCCAGTTTCACAGCTTTTCTTTGGTTCCAGTATAAGCCACTTACACAGAAAGCCCCATGCTTTAGGCCTCATAAAAGCATTTGGAAGTGTTTAACACACACACACAAACCAGGTGTTCGGTCCTTATTCTTTAAAACAATACCCTCTTAACTCTTTTTGAATCTAGCCTTACTTGCGGGGGCCAGTGTGTCAAGTGGAACTGCATGCTGCAGTCATTGTGCACAACTGGAAAGCATTCAGGAAAGTGAACTATTGGGACATTTTTCAGAAAAGCATCTGTGTGTTATTTGAGGTAATTGCCCTGTTTAAACTGGGTTTTTCCTCCTTTGCTCAGACCCAGAGGACAACCCAGAGAGCACGCCTTTGAATCGACACACAGGCAAGCTGTCCAGCCATCAATCAGGAGTCCCTCCTCTGGTGCAGCATGTGTTAATACGCAAAATATTAGGGAGTTCAACCAGCTTAAATACAGAGGTATGGCACTTTGACTGATTTCATTTTATGAAGCAAAATTTGTTCCTACTAATCAGATCACCCCTAGGTCACTCCAAGGAAAAAAACAGCTTTTATCAGTTTTCTGTGTGATCTGTATGCCTTCAATGTGCTCTAGACTGCAACATCATGAGTAGTGACCCACTGCCTGCCAGTGCCAGTCAGGGGTGCGGTAATCAGGGGAAAAGTGGGACTGATTACTCAGGGCACCAATCGAAGGGAGGCCCTCGAAAAGCCTAAAATTAATGATTTTATTTTTAATTATTTTTAAGTTATTATTGCCATAACTGAAATATCCACCCCTGCATTAGAATTTTTCTCTCTAAACACAGCTAAAGCCGAGTGAGCGACTGCTTATACTGCTGGAGCACCACCGTTCACTGTCATGTCTCTCTCCATGAAAGGGAAAGTGGGGTCCAGAAAAGAAAAGACAGAAAGGAAAGGGAAACTGAATTTAACTAAAAAAAAAAAATTTTTTCCATGCTCTTGTTGGCTTGGCTTGGTTTAACGCGGCCTGTCAGCCGAGCATGGCAGGGACTTGTGTTATCATTGCAACAGGTCTACCTGCTTGAAGGTGCGTCTCTAACTGATAACAGGTTTGTCTTGAGAGCTCGCGTTTAAAAGTAGTCAGCTGATTCACAGCTTAAGTCCCTCGCTATTTTACTGCAAGCGTTTTTCCATCACACAGCTGGGCAGGTAAAAGAAGTTTACCTGTTGGAGGTGAGCTGTTTGCAGAGGTGCAGTAAGAGCTTGTTGTCTGGAGCTCTTCATCAACATCTCACTGTGGCTGTTTCTGCTTTTACTCTTCCTCCCTGCCGTATTATTAGACTTGTCTTTATTGAAGGAAAGCCGCTAACAAAGTTCCGCTAATACAGTAATAAACACATTTTATTTACTATAGGTTCTTTACAATAAAACTTGTGAAAATGTTTATTGTGAAGTAGCATAATAAGGAAATGTTGGGTTCATCGGGAGTAACTTAACAAGACCCCTATGCGACTGAAAGTGAACATGAAACAGTAAAATTAAGCAGATAGCTACAGTAAAAACAGGACGCAGGAGAGAAACTAAACTCTACATGACAGAGGTTCAGTGAGACACAACAGAAGTACTGAGAGATGAACACACAGAGACTTTTAAACTCTTTCTCTCTGGTCTCCTGTGCAGACAGACATGAGTTGAGACTTGCAACACACACACTTGTTTCAGGTGAAGAAACAGGTTGTCAGGGATTTGCCGCTACCCGCTTGGGGGCAGCCAACTGGCTTTTAACCCTGCTTAGGAGAAGGTCCATTTCTAGGATGGCTCCCTGTGGCGCATGCACCTTAACTGATAATGGAAAGAGGAATTGGCATGGTTTGACTCAACACTTCCAAAAGTGGTAATGGAAAAGGGCTAATGGATCAAGAGAATATGGGCAGGGGCAACACAAAGACTGCTTGGCCCAGAATTTGGTGCTACGCCCCTGGTGGCAGTTCACATATGACCCAGAGGTCACAAGCAGCCGTGACTGCAAGAAGGGGTCATACAGTTCACTCACAAACTGCAGTGAGACTTTTCATGGTGGTTACTTTTTTGTGAAAGTGAGATATTGCTTCATTTTACTTCTATCATTCAAATAACAGTGGTGAACTGAAGTTGGTTTATCCCATTGTGCTGAAACCAGCTGGACACAGCTTACTTCCCTTCTGTACTCTGAAACAATCCCCTTTTCCAACTTTGAGAAAGTGATTGAAAAACCCTCCTCTAATTGCCTTGGTCATGGTGTTGATGTAAGGACAAGAGACGAGGATGACTGTGGTCCTAAGCCAGCTGGGCATTGCCAGATGGTTTAGACTTTCCAGAGCCTCATCAGCCCTCTGTCTCCCTCTAGCCGCACTGAAACTTTAATCTCATGAGGTCATGGGAGGCGTCCGTCAGTGACAGGCAGTTTGGCAGCGTAAACAGAGAATGTAATGCAAGCAACCAAGGAAATGGCTTTGGATGGGTTCCCAGACAGAGTTAATGCAGGAGCTCCAGCTTGTAAAACCAAAAAAAAAGGAAGAAATGTTAGTCTGTGACGAATTGACCAAATCACATATCAAACTTCCTCATATAAATAATGGATGTATGCCAGCCTTGCATCTGAGAGCTGCGTCAGATCCATTCTGTACACAGTCAAACCTTGATAGGATGTAGTTGGAAGGATGTAGCCAGGCTGTGGAGCTGCTGAGTCACGGCCAAGTTGCTGTTGCAGAGGGGGACAGTAAGGGAGGAACAATCAGAAATCACTACCAAATATGAACATAGTCTGTGCCTCCTGACCTTATCTTTCCGATTTTTTTATTACTGTGCTAATGCATCTGTTATTGCTGCATCAATCCAAGAAAGCCACCTGATATGGAAACTTTCCTTTGTTTGTCAGACACAGCATCTCGTGAAGAGGTCCGTCACATGTACCCCGACCCTCCCACTGATGCACAAAGTCTGGACATCCAACAGCAGGCACTTCTTCGTGAACAACAACGAAAAATCAGGCTCATGAAGAGAGAGGAGGAGCCCGGTCAGTGAGCAGACACACTTAAATTTCTCCTCAAACTTTTGTGCTCTTTAACTCATTGTTTTGTGTTTCGCTACAGACTTTTTGGACCAGAAGTTGAGCCTCTATCATTCTGTGAGTGGTGATCACATTGTAAATATGCATTTTTATTGTCAGGCTAGTCAAGTGGATCTTGCATGGTTTGCTCTTCTTGAGGGCAAGTTAATTAGTGTCTGCCTGTGTTTATTTCTTCCCTCAGAAGAACAAACCTGTACGCCACATCCACAGAGACTCCATACTGCCATCTGAGACATCTTTTATTGGTAAGCCTGGCTAAACATAGTCTGTTTGTCTGTTCATCGTCTTCTTTCAAGTATGAAGAAAGTGTTACACACACAATATGCTCTGGGGTTTTCTTTTTCTGACGCTCCAGACGTTTTCCATAAAGGTGACACGGCCTGGGAGGTCAGCTACATATACGCTCACAATACCACACTACAACACCCTCTGTGCCTCCGTGCCAGGCTAATTGTGGCACATGCCAGCTCCTGTCTCTGTGCTGCAGCTGGTGCCAGTGCTGGGTGCAAGGCACACATGCCAGCTGCAGGGTGGAGATAGCACAGTGCCAGCCACTGGGGATGGGGGCAGTAGAGAAATTGTTTAAAAAGCCTGGTGCAGTAAGGGAGGCTTTTGAATACCTCTTATACTTTTCCATCCAATCCCCTTCCAGTAAAAAGTTTTGCTGAATGGACTGATTTCATTATTTGTCATATATCTGAACTGACTGAACTTTTAGGTCCCTGCTCTCTGTCCAGCTGTAAAGAGGTTTGAGTGTAATGATGAATGGCTTTGTCAGATGTTTACAGCGGTGATGTATGTGAAGAGCGGGTTCATCAGCAGAGACCCCGTCAGCCCTCAGCAGAGCGCCAGGAGAGGACAGCCCCACGGAGGAGACGTGACTATGATGTATGGCGCTGAGTAGTAAATGGATTCTTTTGTCTGCTTCAGGCCAAAATGGTCTGAGTCACTACAGTACCAGAGCTGCAGCTTTCAATACTGTATTACTCAAGTCCCATTAGTTTTCTAATTTTACAGCATTAAACAGATGAGAAGTGTTGTAGATTTCTTCCTTCTGGTCTCTGTTGCACAGGAGGTGGCTGTGTGTATGGATCAGACAGGCGGTAACATTCAGCCAGATGCTCAGTCTTTGGAGTCAGCGACTAGTTTGAACCTTGAATCTAAAGTCAGAGCCAACAACCAGCACCGCATCTCAAGACAAGACACTAGTGATCAGCACGGCAGATCAGGTGAGAGGAAACACTTTACATCAGAGGTATTTAAATAAGCTGGATGCCAATGTAACAAAAGCATAACAAGTCTGGCAAGTGGGGGCGTGAAGGAGTGTTGGTTCACTAAACATCTCTGTGTCTTTTCTTATACATTTTAATCTGTTAAATTAAAGGGAATAAATTCCTCAGTGCCACGAGTTTGCAGCTGCAAAGTCTGTTGTTCTTCCTGCATCCAGCTCTGTCATTTGACATGACAGTGACAATGTTGAGGCAAGCAAGAACTACAGGCTATGTCAACTTGGATTACTAATGTCCACCATGTGGGGCATTCTCCAGATGCTGCTCAAAAACAGAACTTCCTCATTCTCTTCACTTGTATTGCAAACTAGCTATGTTTCCTACAGCGAAATTGGCATCCCAAAAGATGAGAGCAAACTGCAGAGAATTTTATGGATGAGGATAAATTTTAGTGTTTTGGCTGACTCGGATATTCATCTGAATTTATTTGAGCCAGAGTTCACGGCCGAAGAAATGCAGAGGCCAAGACTGAGGCTGCATTAGCCGTGTAAGAAGATATGGCCGGCTTTGCTCATATTGCTTCATCATACTACTGCAATGAATCTCAGCGTGAGCAGTTTTTTGGATGCTGTCACCAACGGAAATCCTAAAGGAACCTCTGTGTGCTTTACTATGGATCAGAATTTTACTCCTCACAACACAGAGATAGCTATTAGCTGGGGTGGTGATACCTAGTGATGTTGGAATCTCTTGCATGCAGTGCATCCTGGTACATGGAGGCACTTTCACAGTCGCTATATTGCATGCACTGAGGAATTTATTGCCCCAACTGACTGAATTTACTGTCAATACTGTTTGGAAATAAAAGGTGGTATATTTTCCATTTAACAGATAAAATACAATGCATATAACTTCACATGCAGTAGTGTTCTCCTCGTGTCAGTGTGGGTTTTCTCCAGGTACTCCAGCTTCCTCCCACAGTCCAAAGACATGCAGGTTAATTGGTGACTTTAAATTGTCCGTAGGTGTGAATGTGAGTGTGAATGGTTGTCTGTCTCTATGTGTCAGCCCTGTGATAGTCTGGTGACCAGTCCAGGGTGTACCCCGCCTCTCACCCAATGTCAGCTGAGAAAGGCTCCAGGCCCTCCGTAACCCCTAACAGGATAAGCGGTTACAAAAAATGAATGAATGAATGTAACTTTATATTAATGATGGCTTTTAAAATAACTCTTGTTTTTACCAGATTTCTGACTCATGCTCAGACTCTACTAAAGCTTTGCCTTTTCATCTTTTCAACAAAGATGAGACAGATGTTAACTATTGTTTCAGTACAGTTTAAAATTAGGCATCATCATTTCTACAATTTGTTTTTAACATCCTTTATTTTGTGATTGTCTAAAGAAATGTGTGATGGATAATCCTGTGTTCCTCTCCAGAGGGTCTGTCTGGTGATGAAGTGGATGTCTTATCTCTGCGTTCTGCCTTGGAGAGGCGTGTCTCCATGGAGACTGTTGCCACAGATGCCTGGCTGCGGCCCGGCACGTCAGATACTGTAAAACGCTCCGGCTGCAGGGAGAGGCCAAACAGTAGGATGGATGCTCCACCCTGGCTGACACACCGCGTCACGTAGCTCCCATTAGCTGTCTGATGCTTGATTCACTTTCTACTGACTAATATGTTAATTGTGGGTCTTTGTTAGAAAACACAGCATTCAAAGTTTGTTGAAGACCAGAGTCTGCCTGTAAAAATATTAATGTCTGTTAGTTTAGACAAGAGCCAGTTTTACAAAAGACTTTCAGCATGAAAAGTGCACTTTTTAGCCCATAAATATCTCATACTTAGCCCATAAAAGTTTTGTAAAGTCTCATATCTGTGAATGTACCATAAATATATTTACTCATTGATGTATTTTTTAAAAATAATTACACACTGGAGAGTTTATTTTATAATAAATATTATTTTGATGTTGTCCCGGCTGATCATTACTGGAGAAAATAAATAGCTAGCAGATATGTCATTTAGAAGTCAGTGATTCAGCATTTCAAATCAACCAAGTTCAAAAACTTTATTGACCTAGAACCTGATTAGAATGCCAGATGATGTATTGTACAGAAAGTTGTACATAATCTTTTTTGCAACATAGAAAACTTTACATTGCTGTATCATATACATTTTGTTTTCTACATCCATGAGCAGGAATGCATCCCATTCATACTTAAAGCACAGCTAACATTTGTCATTTTCTCTATACATATACCTTTCCCCCAAACCAAAGGAAAAAAAAACAAAACATTAAATATATTATTAACTTTTGATTTTGTACACAAGAGTGAAAACTAAACTCAAACATGAAAACAGACTAGTGAGTCAAAAGCAGCTAGCATCAGGTTGCTCTCTTATCTTCCAGTTTCAGATGCCCTGTTATCACCTACCTCCGATAAAAACCTAAGAACATATAAAATGGAATAATTTAACCCTTCACTTTCCACGGTCGTGTTCCATTACAAATCATACTGTGTAGGACAATCTGCAGGAGATGGTACAGTCAAATAAATTATCACAAAAGTAAAATCTCCAGTGCATTCAAAAAAGAGATCAAGTGCAGCAAATCCAGAGGAGGAAAAACAATAAACAAAAATAAATGAAATCTAGTGTTATAAGATTATATTACATAGCGGCAGATCTGTACAACTAGATTCATCCAAGAGGCTATCAATACTAATGTTAGCCATCTGCGGTGCAGACAGAAAGATAGTTACTATCAATGTGTGACAAATGTCACATTTCATAGTTACTAAATATGTCTTTTTGCATGTTGTTGAAACCATTCATTCTTTACTTTTTAAATATACAGTAAGAAGCACACATTGTTTGAAATATATTCCTTCTGAGCAGATCAGAGATATGGATAACTGTCAGTTGTTAATCAGTAGTTTTATCCAGTGGAGGCATCGCTACACCTTGTACAAGACATTACTGTTTTCATTGTGATATCAAGTACTCTGTCTGGGCTGTTTGTGTGTGTGTAGGCGTGTCTGTTTGTGTGTGTGTGTGGTGACAGGGTTAAGGGTGCGGGTGGGTGGTAGCAGATAGCCGATTGATAATCAGCTGTTTTAAGTCAGGCATAAACCACGTGAAGGGCCCTGAGGTGACGCAGAGCCACAGCACAGTTGCACAGATCCGAGGTGGAGGCCTCAGTAGAGCTCTGCGTTCCAGGCTGTTGGTGGTGCAGCATCACTGAGCCTCCTCCCCAGCCTCCTCCCCCACCTCTGTGTCCGCCTCCTGCTCGACGGGTGCCGGCTGAGGTTCTGGTTCGGGCTCAGGCAGCTGTGCGATGTGAAAAACGAGGCCGATGCGCAAGTAGAACTTTCTGAGAACAGCCCGCAGCTCGGGGATCAGGTCGAACTGCATGATCTCACACAGCAGAGGGTAGTATCTGGACGCATGTGCCTTGAACTGTGGGATGAGACAGAGAGATAAAGAAGTGAGATGAAGACAGACACACCCATGTCTTTAAGGCACTTAAATCCTTTTTGCATGTTAGCTATTTGGAACAAAAGTGACAAACATAATTTTCTTCTAACTTTCTTGAGCTCTAGAGTAAACATGTCTTCCACATTTTTTCTGTTTATCAGTTTCATGAATCTAAATCTAAATACTGAAATGGTTCCAATGTGATATTTTAATCCAAAAATGCAATCAGTTTGGCTCATGCTCTGCTGCAATCTGCTCCATCTACACCCCACAGATTTCCCCTTCATTGTTAAACTATATTAATGCCATGGCCACAAAAACATTTTTTCTGACTGGCTATTATGTGTCTGTTAAAATAGTGTAACCGGACACAACAAACATAGTCCCAGTAAACAGTTTAAATAAGCGCACAAGGTATATTTAAAGCGACAGTTCAGATCTTTTAAAGTGGGGTTGTGTGAGGATCAGTGCCTGTGTCGGAAATCTTTAACTCATTCACTACTCCCTACTCACTATGTGGGGAGTTCTATGTAGAGGACTATATAGTGAGCTAACCCTACTAATGTCTGATTTTCTGCTTAACCTTTGTTGTATTCAAGTTTGTTTTACCAGTCAGTCATGGATTAACTTGTGAATTTAATGTAAAACGTTATGCATTATGCCATTATGTCACAAATCAGAGCTAGCAGCAACTCAGCTTTCTAACACTAGCTAGCATTATGAGCCCACATAAACATGTGAGTGTACAGCAGGTTGTAATAGAGCTGCTCTCTCTCCTCTTGTCCATTTTGCTGTCCATCCCATATAGTCTGTCCGTTCCTTTGGCGCAATACATGATGGGATATATTGCTTGGTGACCATCGGTTGTACACTACTTTTCACGGTGCATTGTGGGATACTTTGAGTCCACTATATACGGTATAATGATTCCCACTATACATTCCGACAGCACTACAAAACGGCAAAATCACTTTATAGTGGATTATATAGTGTGTAGTGGGTGATTTCGGACATAGTGTATCACCTACAGTAGATGTCAGTCGGCACACCTCCTGTTTGGAGAGGCAGGTAGGGCTACTGCCACAGAAGCTAAGCACTGTACTGATGTGGACGGGGGCAGTAGCAAGATGTATTTTAGCTAACTTGAAAATTTTTTCACTGCTTTACTTTGATGAAGACAGCCCTTTGTGAAAGAGAAATGGTGTCAAAGCAACCAGACTCCATTGACAAAAACAGTTATTTTACCTTGGTGAACATGGGAGTTGCTGGGCTATGGCTGCCTTGATCAGTTCTATCATTTGTGTTATTATGGGACTTTGGTAAATCCAAACTAACCCCTTTGAAAGCCTAAACCACACAACACAAAAAAATTAACTAACAATCGAAGCAGCGATAGACCAGCAGCTCCCATTTTCACCCAGGTTAAATAACTGTTTTTGTCAATGGAGTCTGGCTTTGAAGAGAGCAATAACACAGCTTCAGTTACCTGTTGTATAGTCTCGCTCACCAGACCTTTCTCAAGAAAAGAAAGGTCTGGCTGGGCCGACTCTCACTTTGAGATTGGAGAAAAAAACGCCCCGGCTGCTTGTACTTCTTTCAACCAATCACAATTGTTCTGGGCGGTGCCACAGCAACGGTGCTCTTGCAAAAATATTGCCGGGGGGAAACAGGTTTTGGTGTAACACGCCCACAAAAATATCGCCTACAGGACGCGAACCATGGCAGAAAAATGGCTACATCCCCGCAAGATCAAACACCGCAAAAGTTAGTAAAGGACGTGTTGAAAACGGTTGAAAACTGCTACACAACCGGAGGTGGTAGGGCGGGACTTCAGCGGGTGGCTCGTTCCGCCCAATGAGAGGCTGATCTTTGCAGCGAACTTCCGCCCACTCAGACTACCTGTGGTAAAGCGCTGTCTGATAGCAAGATAATGTGGTTAAAATATTCTAAAAGTAATATTCCTTCTTGAAGGTGGGACTTTTTTTTAGGTGGCTAAAATATGTTTTCTTTCTGACCCATCCACAGTTCATTCCTTAGCCTGTTTATACAAACTGAGAGTGTGCTGACCCCCATGTGTGGTATGTAATACACTGACTATAGATAAGTACCTCAAACAATCCCACTTCAAAAAATACAAACTATCCCTTTACATAAGCTTTAAAAATGGATTGTGGTATAAAAATACCCTCTATTTTTTGCCTGTTACACCGATATTAGCAGTGTGATAATCCCCTCTGAAGTGTTAAAACGGAGAAAATAATCACCCCATCTGTTATTTCTGGATGTCAGACCTCATCTTAAATCATCTTGTATGTGTCAGGAGAGGCATCATCAAGTGTTTCAGCTCCTTACCCTTTCATCGCTGATCTTTAGCACCTTGGTGAGGAAGAGCAGCAGCAGGTTGGTCCAGGCCTCTCTGTGGCTCTCTGAGGTCAGAGCCAAGAAGTACGCTACAGCCTCACTGCACACACTACAGCACAGAGAGAGAGAAACATTTCAGAGATGTATATTAACCCCTTAAGAGAACATTAAACAGAAAAAATTCTGGATATTATGACAGAAAAATTGTGTTTTGTCTGCAATGTATTGTAGCAAGAAAGCATCTGCTTCTCCATCTTGCTGATCACATGACAAATTTGCCGGGACGGGGATGATGAAGATTGTTTTCGATCAGTAACTGCTAATTAAAGCCACTGACTAAGGCTATTATGAAAACAATTAGACACTTTTCTTCACAGTCTAAGCTTGAAGGGAAACTGACACAACCTCTGACCTTTCTCCCATGACCCTGCGGCCCTCTTTCGACATCAGCGGCATCCATTAGCTGCTCACCCCGCTCTCTCTTCCTCCCTCACACGCAGCTCTGTTGCACTTTTATCTCTGCGACCTAATCACCTCCCCAGTCAGCTTTGTACCCTGCACTAATCAAACTCGCATGTGTGCTGACGTCTGGTGAACAGGGATCTGTTTGTGTGTGTAATTGAAGAATAAATGTGCGTCTGTGCTGCTTCTGGATGACAGGATGAGGTGTGTTTGAGAGAGAGGAAAGGAACATAAAATACAGGCGTGATGACACATAACTGTGTCTTCATGAATTAGGATTTCTGAGCCAGTCGCACACGGAGGCACCATCCTTCCTCCTCCTCCTCCTCCTCCTCCTCCACTACTCTTTCTCATCTTCTCTCTAATAACGAATGCAAGTAGGAGAGACAAGCGATGATTCTGCTTTATCTTGATATCATCATCAATTTGAGGGCGAGGCTGGGGGAGAGAGAGGGGGTGACGGCTGTTTGTGAGGCGCTGAATAAAGATGCAGCGATGACAGCCGTGCTGACTGAACAATGAAACATCAGTGTGCTGATTCCTTCAGATCTATACGGCGCGAGAGCATCTATTACGGAGAATTGCCGAGCTGTGCACACG